GCGGAGCGGCTGGTAGTTTCGAACCGCTGACCTTAAGGTTCGCAGCCCAATTCGTAACCACTACGCTACCAGAGCTCCATATATATATATATTAATACAAAACACAACAAGTTATATTACACAATGCAGAATACATTCTGACTTTCATAATTAATTTGATTTTAAAAAAAATAGGTCTATCTCTTTCACTTTGAGATTCTCTCCTTTATGTTCTATCATTTAAAGGACCATATACAACACTTTGCTTTATAAAATCATTTTCAAGGAATGGAGAAAAGAAAAAGATCAGATGACAAGTAATTCTTTCTGGGTAAAGAATAGGAAGCCTGGACAATGAGAAGACATAGCTATGCTATAAATTTCCAGTTAGAGTCACTTCCTGTTATAACCTCATTACACTTCTATCTGTTGGCTGCAATGCTATTATAAACCTTGCAGTGACCTTCACTGAGAATTGATGCTCTTGAGATTAGAGTAAGAAAAATACGTAGAGTACTCATTAAAGGTCAAGCAAACATGGTAAAGAGAGGAGAGTCCTACTAACTTACGTGGTTGTCCTTAGCCGCTGGTCCATGTTACCTCTTACCATTGTTCTCTCTTAGAATACCATAATATTTGGAAATATGGTCGAAATGAAATTCTTGACCTCCATGTGTATGTAAATCTCAGAGATTTTACTCATACAGTCTTCACCCTAAATTGCCTTTCCTCCACTCTCTGTCCTCTCATTTTCACAAACTCTATTCCTTAATTTTTTTTAAAGTGCTGTTGAGTTAGTTCCTACTCACAGTGACCCTACATAGGGTTTTGTGGAGCAGCTGGTAAGTTTCAACTGTCAACCTTGTGATTCAAAACAGTTTTATGGTCTCCTTAATAGATACTATTTCCTTTCCAGAGGAAATCAACAATGTTCCTTATTTTAAAATATGTTAAATATTTACGTATGATTTTTTTTCTTTTTTACAGTAATACATTATTAAAAGGAAAAGAAAATATTACCTCTCTCTAAATTGCTCATTGAAATATTACTTCTGGCGCTTTCTCTAACCTGCTGTCTTTTCTCAGAATCACCGTGCCTTACCATCTTTGCATTTCTGACCACTTTTCACATCTCACTGTCTTGCTTTGGTACCTCTCTGCTACTGAGAGCAGATTAGTGTGATTAGCATTAGAGTGACTCTCCTTCAACATCTGGCACAGAATTCTGTCTATTGTGTTGTTGTTATTGTTAAGTACCATCAAGTCAGTTCCGACTCATAGCAACCCTACATAGGGTTTCCAACAAGTGGCTGGTGGGTTTGAACTGCCGACCTTGCAGTTAGCAGCCCATTGCTTATTCTACAGTGCCACATCAGGACCAATATATACTATGTTGATATCCTTAGTAGTGGCCAGTCTCCCTTTTGTAACAAGCCCCTCTGCATCCAGTCTAGTGAGTGGGGATGAAGTGTGAGAGTCACAAACTTACACTCAGGCCTCCTATGGTTCATCATCATTATTGAGTCAGTTTGAACTCATAGCAAGCCTTTAGGGACTCCCAAGGGGTGGCTGATGGGTTTGAACCACTGACATTATGCTTATCTGAGCCTCTCCAAGGCCATACCTCTCCAAGTAGTGACTGTTACCCCCTTACCTCTGTCCCATAAGGCAGTCTAGAAATCACCTCAGGTGCCATCCAGTATGGAGTGCCAACCAGTGATTTCCTCTTTGGCACTTCTTTGGAAACTTGAGCACAAAAACCAAAGTCAGATAACTTTATCTGAAAAGGAAAGAAATTCAACTTTGCAATATTGTTTGCTAGATGTCAAAATATGAACCTAAAAAGTTAAAATTCAAAGCAAAATAGTCTCATGAATAGGTTTTGGAGTTACTGGAGGAGGGGCTGGTTACACCTTTTCATTATAGAGGCACAATACTTTTTTTTTTTTTTTTTAAGTTTTTATTGTGAATTGAGTGATAGTTTACACGAGAGAACATCAGTTTTACACTCATCCTACCATATTTCATTTCACTGCAATGATTACAATCCTCTCCATTCATCATCATTCAACAGTATTTGCTTCTCTTTCCTCTGGTTTCTTTTTGGATGTACACCAAAACACTCAGGAATATACAGTCATTCAAACAACCAATGGGCACACTTTGCAAGACTGTCATCCGGCCACCAGCACACATCCCCTCTCCCTCCATGAGTCTAGAGTCCTCAGCTACTTCGTCTCTCCCTGTCATCATCTCTGCTTCCATCTCTGGCATTGCCAATTCTCTGGATAGGGTCCCACACTCCATTCCCACTCTTCCTCCTTGATGGTCCCAGGGTCCTCCATTCCTGGACTGTACGATGAACCACTCCCCAGTTTTTACTACAAAACTTTTACCTTTACAGTTTTGACAATTGCAATTAGTCAGGATAAAAATTACTCACTATTGAATCCTAAGAATCTTATTCCTATCTCCTTTAATGAGACCCATCTAGACAGGATGAAAACAACTCACTGGGGATTGATTGTACCTTCCCCCACAGACTTTGAAACTAAACTTCCTCTTGAAAACTTGTAAGCCAGTCACTTCAAAAACACAATACATTTTAAAGGAGAAATTTCTCATGGACCCAGAGTTGACTTGCAAATGTTTATACTTTTGCTGTTTATATATTTTATAAAACTATGAAACGAACAAAAACATACCAATCAAATACACCCAAACAACAAATTCATTAAAACTTAAATCTACAATGTTGATTTTATGTGACATGATGTTGTGTTTGTGAAAATAAACTGCCATTACCAATGTGATTTTGGTATCCACTATTGCAGTTTGATTTCTTTTGTATTCAACACATTTAGGTTTTAATGAATTGTGAAGATGGTTCAAACAACCAACCTATTTTCTGTCATTTGAAATCTTGCAAACCTTCATAATGATAGGCTACTGAGATAGCGCTTTTACTATTGACCCCCATTCCTTTTTGCTTTCTCCTTGGTCCGTGATGAATGAAGCTGCCAATATGAATATCAAAGGAAGTGGAAATATAAGCATAGAGACCAGGCAATCAAGGGGATAAGGTGGTGACTCATTGTACACATATAGTATTTTAAATGATCCTAAGATTTTTTAAAGCTTTGATGGTTCTGGCATACAGTGCTCATGTCTTCTTAGGAATATACTCAAGAACACATTTCTGTGTCAGGCACCAGCTAGTTTAGGTAGTCCAGATGCCCAGGATTCAGCTTATGAGAGCAACAGAATACAAAACAACACAATCTGGCATGGTGCAGAATGACCATTTAAAGCTAAAACTTCCCATAGATGAAGGGTATGTGAGCACTGGTGGGTCAGTGGTAGAGTTCTCACCTTCTAGGTGGGAGACTCATGTTTGATTTATGGCTAATACACCTTATGTGCAGCCACAACCTGTTTGTAGAGGTTTGTGTGTTGTTATGATGCTGAACAAATTTCAGGGAGCTTTCAGACAGAATGGGAGGAATGGTCTGGGGATATACAATGAAGACCCCATGGATCAAAATGGTCCCATAATGGAACCAATTATAACTGTGCAGGACCAGGCAGTATTTAATTCCATCGTGCATGGGTCACCATGAGTTGGGTGCTGACTTGACGGCAGCTTACAACACCAAACAGATCAATAACTTAGTCTCTAAAGCATGAATTCTCTTCTGAGCATATTTCTGCATATTCTCTGAACTTCCTTTCTCAGTATTGTTTTCTGGTTCTATCTCTTCTGCTCACAGCTTAAATACTGGCGCTCCCTAATGCTCGGATTCCAACGTTTACCTCTTCTTTCTTAACATACTCTTGCCAGGGTCCCCTTCCCCTTTTATACTTAATTCAGCTATCTATCTTCCATTCAGCATCAGTATTTCCAACTAGATCAAAGGCACTCTCAGCCGAACACAGCATAGACTCTCTCTCCACTCCATGACCTGATGCTTGTCTGGCTATCTTGTCTTAGTTAATGGCAACATCTTCCACCCAATTACTCAAGCTTAACTGTGAGAATCATCCTTTAGTGCTTCCTCTACTTTATCACAAATATTCCTTGTGACCCTGTATAGGGTTTCTGAGGAGCAGCTGGTGGGTTTGAACTGTCAACCTGGCAGTTAGCAGTCCAGCACTGACCCTATAGTGCCACACCAAGATTCCTTTGCTTTCCTGGTTTGGCAGCAGGGATGATTAAAATAAAAGCATCCTTTGCAAATAGATGGAAAAACACCAATAAGGGAGAGAAGAAGTGAGGAAGAATGACCAGGGGCAGCCAATCTGGGAGTGTCCAATATCTATGAAGGAACAGAGAGATTAAACCACATTAAGAACTGAGAGTTGCTCTTGTATGTGGCATGACGGGGTCTGCGGTGACTCAGAATTTGAGCATTGCAGTGGGAACAGAAACCAGGCGTTAGTGAGGTCTTTGTCAAATTGATCTTTAAGAAATGAGAAGAGTTTTAACGTATATAGAAAAACCCAGATAAAAGTATGGGGACAAGGATAGCAGTGACAATTATAATTATGAGGGAACTTCAAAAAGTTCATGGAAGAAGTAGAAAGAAAAGATATGGAATTTTTATAGGAACTTTTTGAAGACTCCTCATATAATGATTCTAGATAAATATTACTGAACTCTTACTGCATGCCCGTTACCATTGAAACACTTTACATATATTATCTCATTTAGTTGCCACAATAATCAAATGAAGTTGAGACTATTATTCTTCCCATTTTACAGATAAGTAAGCCAAGGTGTAGAAAGTGATAGAGGTAGGGAGTTAGGGAGCTAGGATTCCAGAATTCAGGCATCTAACTACAACTCTGTATCATAGAACAAGTTTATGGGCTGAAAGAAAGGAATTAGTGGAGTGGTAAATGTTGAAAATACTGGAGTAATGGTAACTGATGACAGGGAAAAGAGGGATGGAAGGGAAAGATGGAAGGCCTTGTTACTCAAAACAGCAGTAGTAGGAGCTGCAGCAGCACCTGGGAACTTGTTAGACTCTCTCTGCAGAACCCACCCCAGACCTACTCTTGAGTTCAGAGTCTGCCATTTAGCAACATCCCCAGACGATTCTATTTGTATGCACATAACAACTTGAAACATAGGTGACCATGGTTGACTGTGGAAAAGAAAGGGGCATCCTATGAAAGAATGAGGATGAAGAAGCACTTGTTTGTAGAGGGTCCATCTCTTCAGTCCAGTATCATGATGTAATCTTTCTCTTATTTTTAATGATTCCAGTTTTCCTACTGTTGACTTGCATGCATTGCAATCTACCTGAAAGGCCTCTAAGGCCTTTTATGTAGCCTATACATGTAGCTAGCCTCACTCTTGATTGATTTCTGCACACACTGAAACTATCCCAAGGGATTGAGGGGTTTCCTAGGATATAGGATTTTCAGTTGGCCCATTCTCAGCCTTAAGTTTTTGTTCATGGTTCTTTACTATCTTCTTGAAAATTTAATTCTTAATAATACTTAAAAGGACTAATCGCATCCCACTTCCTCTAGAATTCTTCTCAGGAGTTCCTACTGATCTTTCCCTTCTTCACATTTAATTTTGCCTTTTAATTATGAAGCCTCACTGTGGTCCATAAGAGCTGGAAGGCTTGTAGAAACTCAATAAACACATGCTTCTGGATTGGTGTGTCTGGATTGTACACACATACAAGACCATATTATTTTCTGAAACCATCATTGGCTTGCTGAAGACAGCAGCTTCTAGAATCAAAGTTGGAATACAGATGCAGTTGGCTTAGTATTTTGGAAGTTATTAATGTGTATGCTTCTTTTTCTTTTTTTGTGATCATCTTTGTAATCAGCTCTAGATTTGTATAGTTTGAGGTTGGGAGAGACTGGATTGCTCCAGATGGAAAGCTCAAGAAAGTACATTAAATACAGAGACAATGTTCTCTGTTGTTTAACACACCAAGAATAAAACCCAAATGGCTTAGGTCAGAGACTTCCTATGTATTGGAAGACACTCAAAATTCAGTGGCCACAGCAATGAACAAAAGCATATTAATGATTGTGAGAATGCTGCAGGACCAGGAAACGTTCTGTTGTACATGGGGTTGCCATGAGTCAGAGCCAACTCCACGGCAACTAACAATTGGCATACTAGTGAGTACTGGATGAATTATCAGTTGGCTTTGGTCATGCCCTACATAGCCTTCATGGAGAGATGGCACAACAGCATGGGTGGAAGTAAGGTTGGGGAAATACTCCTGGTTTTCCATGGCCTGTATGTGGTGGCATAGGGTCCAGAAATCCCCCAAATTTCAGGGAGAAAATGGAGAGGTGCCTAGAACAAGCCCATGGCAGACAAGAGGACACCTTTTAAGATTTGTGGCAAAAGGCTGGAGTTGTGGAACAATGCAGAGGATCCTTTTGAAAAGCCTGTCAGATGATGGGACAATTCACCCTTAGTAGTCACCAGTGCAGGTAGAAGAATCCAGGCAAAGATTAGAGGGGAACAAGAAGATGGGTCTTATCTTCTTCATCAGGAAGTCCCATTGTTGTTGTTATTAAGTATTGTTGAGTTGGTTCCAACCCAAAGTAACCCTGTATAGGGTTTACGAGGAGTGAGCTTGAATCGCTGACCTTGTGGTTCAAACTACCCTTGAGGCCTAGTGCTTATCCTACAGTGCCACACCAGAGCTCCTGAAGTCCCATAAGTCACACTTAACTTTTACTCTCCTAGACTTCCTCTTGAGAAACAGTGGGGGTGGAAGAGGAAGATGGGTGTTAAAT